AGAGTTTACGTTTAGATATCGACGTGAGCAGATTAATATTGTGAATATAAATTAGTATTTAAGTAAATGTAATATCGTCGGCTTACTTTCAAAACTTCCCAAGTCCGTTTTTAAAATATTATTATTTAACGTCCTGCAACGACTTAGAATGTTTCAATATCGTCCAATCGATGTTGCTACAATCAAATTAAAACTTAGAAGCTTTTGCGGGATGTTAAATAATAATATTTTAAATCTGTTCGTATCAAAACCTCGTAAACAGTAAAAAACAGAGGTTTTGAAAGTAAGCCAACGATAAATTAGTATATGAAGTTATAAAATAAGTTAGTATATTAGTTTAATTATTAAATAAAATTTTAAATAAATCACAATTTTGTCAAACTAATAGATGATTTCAACGGAAGACATCTTGAAGTTACAAGGTCATTGGAAGATCTTTGCGCCATCTATAAGTTTACATAACAACTAATAAAATAAATAAGAAAACTGTAAATTATAATCTGTCTAAACTTACGGCGGCGTCAGCATAAATTTCTTCTTTTTTTCTTGCCTTCTTCTTTAGTTGTATGGGCTCAGTTTTCACTCTCACTATCGCCAAGATCTGAAATCTAGATCTACCTGGTGTTACACGCCGTTTTTATTTTTAAGTATTATTTACCATTCTATCTATCTATCAGAATTAGGGCGTGGTTCAAAGCCCACTTGTACTGAAGCTCTAGGCTTATTGTAACCCTCACAGTTTCTGTCCCGTCAAATTTATTTTCTTGATGAATTCAAGAATATGTCTGATGGGCACTTTCGCGATTTCTTCAGGTTCCGGATATTGTACCCCGAAGTACCATTCCCGTTTCCATTTAAGGTTCCGGCAATGGCATAGTATGTGAATAGGAGTTTCGTCCTTCTCTTCACATATTCTACATAGGGAGTCATCAAATATCCCTAGGAGATTCAGGTATCTTCTAAGGCCGCAGTGTCCCGTAAGGAGTGCTATTATGGCCTTAAGTTCGCTTCGCTAAGGTTTAGCAGTTGATGTTGTCTGCTCGTGGATGGCCCCTCTATGAATGTTTTGGACTGTCTAATTCCAGGGAGTTCCATCCAGAGCCTATGGTGTTTTCTTCTTATCTGTTCCTTTAACACCCATTTAACATGTTGGTATGAGATACCACACGTGGGTTCTGGTACAATAATAGTTTTTCCGCTCCCTTCCTTGTTAGGAGGTCTGCTTTCTCATTTACAAACACTCCCTCATGTCCTGACATTCATTTAAGGGTAACCTTGTTATGTTCTGCCAGGGCCTGGAGGGACTGTTGGCAATCAAATTTTGATTTTTCAGTGCTTTAAGAGCTGCCTGACTGTCTGTCATGATAACGATCCTGTTATCTCTAAAAGAGTCAATTAGCATGACTTTGGCGCAGGCATTTATTGCTGTTACTTCAGCCTGGAAGACTGTTGTCAGTGACCCCAGGTTCAAATTTTTGTTCTCCCTGAGTTCACATTGTAGATCCCAGCTCCTGTGCTGTTTTCAGTTTTGAACCGTCTGTATACCAGATTTATTCATTTTGTTTTTCCCTATTTTCCCGGATTTTGGCCCTTTCTGGTATTTGAATATCAAAAGGTTTCCTGAAATTGTGAATAATGGGCTTTCTATCCGATGGCATTCTTAATATCGGATTTTGTTTTAATTTCTCTAATATCATTGTATGGAGCCCTTTTCTCTAAAGTTCCCATCTAAATCCTGTATGCTGCCGTCATAGCCTCTTTCTCCACCACAAGGTGTAGTGGAGGAAGACCTAGCAGTAGCTCCATTGCTGCTGTGGGCGTAGTTCTAAATGCTACTGTTATTATTAGACAGGCTAGTATTTGTACCTTGTATAATTTTCTGTTGGCTGTTATGCTTTTAGTCTATTGCCACCATATGACTGATGAGGGAATTATTACAGGTACTATAACCCTAGTGTAAATCCAGTACATCATACTTGATTTAAGCCCCCATGCGTTCCCTACCATCCGTCTACAGGCTTATAGTATTCTTACAGCTTTTTCTGTTGTTTTTTCTATATGGCTGCAGAAGCTAAGAGTGATTCCAAGATATTTAACCTCTTTTGCGATACTTAGACGTTGTCCCTATTTACCATTAAATGTAGGTAATAGTTTTGAAACATACCTCGTATATGATATTCTTTTTTTGATTATAATTGGTGCAAAATTACATTAATATAAATATAATTTAGTATATATCCCATAATCAATTAAATTTTTGATTTTTGTGATCATATGTTCGAATTATTGCCACCAGTCAGATTAATTGGCTCTAGGCACTGTCTTGTGCGATACGCTCGGCCTCAGTTGTTCGGAATGGCTCGGTTAGCTGCTTCCAATAGTTAGTCGCTAGGCATTATTATGCTCGAACTGTAATAGTCCGAGTAGCTATATAATTAAATGATTTTATTATAGCCTACCTTTCATTTTCTGAAATACGTTCAAAACATTTTAAGCGTTTGCATTTACAGTCTGAACCGACCTCATGCGATTGCACTCTCAGTTTTTTTGCAACGTCTCTTAAACGTCCAAGTCCCTTTTTTCACAGGAAATTCCTCGGCTGACTGTTCATCACTAACATCACCCATTTCACAATGTCTTTAACTACACATAACAACCTAAAACTCCACAATAAACTGAAAAATCAGCAATATAACTCTAAACAAGCACATTCACATCTCAGCTGTTTACAATAAACTAAAAAAATGATTCAATCACGCCATGCTTCTGCCGCTTGATACTGAACATAGCTGGTTTTTTCCGGGTACGCGTGGACTACTCTTGTTTTTCACCTGTACGGCAAATAATATATTTGTAATAGCTCAGCGACTAAGCTTGTTTTTGCCTTATTTCATGGTGCTTTGCATAACGCTAACAAATACCTACAAAATGACGTCAATAACACAAAATTGATACAAATGTGACAAAGCTGGTTTTTCCTGTGTAGTCTTCAAATACATATATACCACCCACTTAAACAAAAATCACTTATTACAAAAAATTAGTTAACTAGCTGTAAATAAACCAAAACCCATTAGTAGCGTAAATTGAACCTATAGTAAGAGACTTATGTATACTACCACAAGTAAACAGTTTACTTACTGTAGGTCGTTTGAAAACTGTTAACTAAGCACAGGTGACTAATTTCAGAAATCTTGTTTACCTTACTATAAGTAAACAGTTTACCTGTCCCATATAGAATACTACTTTTTATTTGCGGTAAGTAAAAGTTTGCTAACGGTTAGTGACTTTTTTTCCGTGTATGTATTTACGAGTAAAAATCTTATTTTAATGAAAACAATGAAGCGGATCAGAAACAGCTGTATGTTGTTTAAAAAATTAAATGGTATGAACAAGTATATTACTGTTAAATATTATATGAATGAAAAGATTTACTGGTAAGTACCTATTACATTAAGTATTATATTATTATTACAATAAGGGCAGAGGACGGTGTCCTATTGTGGCAAGTAAAAAAAGAGCAAATTAATTAACCTAAATACTATTAAATCAACAAATGATTTTAAAATAATTCTAAAGACTAAATTCAAATATAGTTTCAAAATTAAATTCGAAAATAAGCTACAAGCAAATGTAAGTTCGAACATTGTTCAGGTGGTAAATTCAAAAATATATCATTATTATGAATTATGAAAAATATGCCTGTCTATATTGTTTTTGTAAATATTGACACTTTGGGAATCTATAATTTTTTGGGGCAGGTTGTTCCAGACTTCGAAGATTCTGTTACTCAGAAAATGTTGTCTCGTTCTTGTTTTGAAGTTTCCTTTCCGCAGTTTTAGCGAATGTCCACGAAACGACAGAATTAGGTCACCGCGGAGACGTTTCTGTTGGAATGTTATAAGATTTCCCATTTCTAACCTTTCCTCGTATTATGGTCTAATGCGGCCAAAGTCTGGATATTACTGGGTCCTGCGTATTCTAGGATAGGACGGACGTAGCATTTATAAAGTCTGCACAACATTTCAAACGACACTTTTGAAAATGTTTTTTGAATTAGGAATAATCTGGAGTTTGCGCGTTTGCACACATTAGCGATATGATTACTCCACGATAGATTACAATTCACTGTAACACCTAGACCGTTGTAGGACACTCTATTTAATGCATGCATGTTGAATGAATATAGCAACTCCGGATTATTTTTACCAATATGGAGCACAACACATTTGTTTAAATTTAGGGGCAAGAGCCAGTCGAAGCACCATGAATAGAGGTTGTTAAGGCCATTTTGAAGTGCCATGAAGAGGGTTGGCAAATATTTTTGTATCATCGGCATAAAAACGTATATAAATAAAAATGTCCTTGGTTTATTCAGTCCTTTTTATTTTCTATTGTTTAGCACAGCACAACATATGTTTCGGAAAACTTTTCCACCTTCGGGTGCAGTCAAAATTTAGTAAAACATGGGGACGATTACAAACAATTAATTTTTTTTTTTTTAAATAATAGCAATCCCGTCTTTCTGTTTCAACATTCTCCACTGTCATAGATTATAGAGCCCAGTAGATCCTGAACAATACAGATATTTGATTTTTGTACTTTTATTTACTTTCTCGAGTAGCAAATACCGATTTAGCTTAACTATACCTATCTTGGTTTTTGTCAGATAAAATAATATAATATGAAGACAACAGGGAAAAAGGATGAGGGTCCAAAAAATTAAGATTTGAGAGAAACACGGCAAATCACGACCAACCGCCGTTACTTTCTGTCTATCACACTATAAAGAGCAAAACAGATGAGAGTACCGTGTAAAAATGCATTTTAATTTATACCGTACAGGGGAAAAAGGATGACAGTCCACTCGATTTACGCAAAACGGATGAGAGTCCAAAAACTTTCCACTATAGACAGGCTTGCCTGTGACCTTCGGCCTTCGGCCAGTACACTCAGTAAAAGTTTAGCAGCGAAGTGAATTAGTTCGCTTTTGTTTTAAGCCCAATTAGGTTACGTGCGAGTATTGTGGTACACGTGTTTTTCCACGGAATTGGTTGTGATGTGCAGTTCCTAACTAAAAAAAGACCAACACTCGGACGTGTTTTTGATTCCTCGAAAAAACTAAGATTGCAAACACCTGAAACCGGTAGCAGTTGTCAGTGTTCAAGGTTAAAATTTTTCAATGTTATTGGTGTTCAAGACCGTTTGGCGATTATAAAAAACTTCAATGAAATGAAATCGCATAATGAGCAGAGCTTGTATTTAGCAGGTCTTATTTCGCACGAACCAGTAAAAAGACGTCGCCAAAGAAAAGCTTACGATGAAGATGTAATCTAGCATTCTTTCTCCTACAAATATAAGGTAATACATATTATTTTACTGTCGTTACTTTCTTTGCAGTAGTTAATTTGTTTTAAGGTTAGAGTGATGTGGGAAAACGGTACCCAAGAAATTCCTATTTGCAATGCTCTCACTACATGGAATATCAGCAAAGCGCCTTAAAAATATTCAACAAAAGCTTGTTAAAGATGGACATGCTGGTGAAGATTGTCGGGGTCGACATTCCAATCGGCCAAATAAGCTAGATAAAGAAACAACCGATACGGTCTGTGGTCATATTCGGTCATTTAAAGGTAGACAGTCACACTATAGCCTTCATAAGTCTAAAAAAATCTACTTGCCAGAGGAGTTGAACATAAAAAAAATGTTCCAGATGTTTAAGGAAGTACATCCGATGAAGTCAATTTCATATGAATCATATCGCTCCATCTTTCCAAACAAATTCAACATCAATTTTGGTTACCCGCGTAGTGATACTTGCGATGAATATAAGGCAAGAAAAGCAAATCCATCACAGGCTTCAAATTCATCTGCACTAGATATGAATCAACAACTTCATCTTAAGAAGGCTGAGTCTTTTTACCAAAGAAAACGATCCGAACGCAAGAGAGCTCAACAATACGGTCATATTGAAGCCATTGCCATGGACTATCAAAAAAACTGCCCAACATTAGCACTAATGACGTATACTACAAGAGGCAATTAGCGTCCTACTTATTAAACATTCACGTTTTGGCCACCGGTGAGGCGTTTTTTTATACTTATACGGAAACAGCGGCCAAAAAAGGATCAGATGAAGTAGCCTCCATTCTGTTTCATTACATTATCAATGAATTGAATCCAGAAGTTCAAGAACTTGTTATTTCTTGTGATTCGTGTTGTGGACAGAACAAAAATTATACCTTGTACCGACTGCTTCATTATATTGTTCACAAAGTAGTTCGACTTCAGTATGTAAAAATGGTTTTTGCTATTAGAGGAAACAGCTACATTAAATTTGATCGCAATATGGGCTTAATTAATTTCAAAGCTAATGTCGAGTTTCCCTCTGGTTGGGATGATCACGTTCGTAATGCCCGCGTTAAAACAAGCCCTTTTAAAGTGATTAGCTGTGAAGACCAAAAGATTTTTCGAAGCTGGACTGATCATCTGAAAAGTTATTACATCCTGAAGTGTCCCTTTGAAAGTCGCCCAATAAGGGAATTACTAATAAAAAAAGAAGAACCCAGAATAATCGATCATCGCGGCTCTTACAATGGAGGATTCATCTCAAGTGTTGTAGTATTAACAAAGAAAAAACAGGCCACGTTCAAAAAAGGGAAACAAGTTAGAAATAAATCAAAAAATGGAGGCAATGCAGCCCCTGCATTTTAGATCTACTTTTAGGGCAATTTGAACTTCAGGCTTTGAAATATGAAGACAGGATTCCCATTAATATTAATTGTAAGAAGCACCAGAAAACTTGCAGGAATTAAAACGTTTTTGTAGTCTAGAAGCTCAACTTTACTTTGAGAATTTTTTTTTGTGGACCCTCATCTTTTTTCCCCTGACTTTATGTACATAACCTCATTTTATTTTTTTGTTCGGACATCTATATTTAAAAAAATTAGTAACAAGTTATTTTTTCGAAAGAAAACAAACAGGCTAACTACCTAAAAATTTGTTATTTCCAAAAACGTTTACATTAGGAAAATACAAGGTTTTGAATTTTAAAATGCGTTTTACTCATAACTTTGAAATTTTGACCCTCGTCCTTTTTCCCCTGTAGTCTTCATATATTACTGATATGAAAATGTCTGGAGGATGATGTCATTAATTAGACACAGCAATATCGGGATGAAGTAAAGAAAATCTTATAATGTAATAGTAGTTGGTAGGGATGTTTTTGAGTTTGAAATGTTATTAGGGAATTATCAGCGGAAAAAAATGTCAGATGGGAATTTTTATAAAAAATCAGAAGAATTATTGAATGTGGGGGTAGGAATTTAAGTTGATTAAAAAATATTACTTTCAGAACAGTTATTTTTTGAAAATAAAAGGTAAATAAATTTTATTCAAAAAAAGATGAGAGCAAATTCAAATAGAAAGCAAGTTCTAAACAGAGATAAGTAGAGAAAAGCATACAGGTAGAGACAAACATATATTTAGAGACAAGCAGACAGCTGGAGATGTGAAAAACAGCAAAAATTTTAAAATAAACCAAAAACCAGCCATAAAAGATGAGACACGCGCATGCCTCCTCACGCACTCACTTAAAACGTTGGAGACAAAAAATGGCCCATCCAAATTGGTGATGGGTTTAATATTTTTTGTAGGTGGGCACTTATCACCGAATAAGCAGAATCAAAATGTTTATTCAACATATAACAGTTATGACTGTCATTGTTGATGTCATTCTAGATAAGTAAACTATCAAATATCACACTAATGTGTTATAATCCATAACTCACCAGTAAATCATGGTATGTCTTTACAAAAACATACCACATATTCCTTAGACCGAAATAAGTCGATTTAAGTAAAATTAGCTAAGTACAAAGTTGCTTCGTTTGGGCTCCAGAGGGCCTTGAAGTTACAATTTTTAAATCGTTTTTCCCATATAAATTTAAAACGGCATGTGCGATTTTGCTGAAATTTTGTATATCGGTAGAGTTTTATGTGACAAAACAAATGGTATTAAAATTTTGTCCAAAAATAATACATAGGAGTAGAACTTGATTTTTTAAATAATTGCACCTTTAAAAATTCTACGCCAATGGAAGAAAAGGAGTTTGAGTATGAAATTTAGATTACGCAACTTATTTACTTTAAAAAAGGTACTCTTGATAAGACGCGATTACTCTCATGGTTTTCGCTAAATTTCTGTTTTAATAATTTAGAGTGTATAGGTTTCACAAAAATATTTATTTACAACATAATCAAAATAGAGATTTTACAAAAATTGTTCAAAATGTTCACCATTTTCACGCATACAAAGATTTATACGTCGAAGAAATTTAAAATGTATCCTTTCCATAACTTCTTCATCACCTCTAAGATTGTTTATTGCATCTTGAATACGTTTCCAGAGTTGTTCCTCATTTTCTACAGGTTCCCTGTAAACTGTGGATTTTAGATGTCCCCATAAGAAAATTAGACAAGTTTTTAAGAGGCACGTACTACTTGTAATGCCTATAACTACCTAAGAGCCGCAGTCACAAATATGCACGTTAGTTCTAGGACTATTAACATAACCATTGATTTTTAATATCCTGATGGGATATTATTTGTACAAACTAATAACACCTTTAAAGATACGTTAATTCGCTAAAAAGTGTCTGAACAGGGAAATAGTAAAACAGAAGGCAAAGGTAAATATAGAACACTGCAGCTGCATTTTGCTCTATTAAGAAATTCCACTGACTGTTTGAAAACACTTGGCCTGCTGGCTGACGTACATCACGAATTAAAATAAACGGAAACTTCGAAGTTCCAAAGTTCGGCCTTTTGCAATATAAACTTTCAATCATGCCCCGTTTTATAAGTTTAAATTAAGTTTTAATCAATTTCGATGGAGAAAACAGACGTGACTTAAGTGAAAACATGAAATTTATTATTAGATCTGTAGTGAACTAATTACGCTTTTCATTCTAAAGTAACAAAAATGTAATTGAATTTGAATCAAGTCAGAGCATAACATATTTTCCAATAATTAATAAAATAACGTAATTTTAAAATGGCCGATTGAATATACCAATAAAAAAAAAGTTCTTAAAGTCATATTAAATTTTCAAATAGATTTATACAATAAACAAAGAAGGGTCTGCAATCCTAAAAATCAAATGTATCCAACACATGACTTTCCTGTCTAGTTATTACAGGCTTTTTCCGGTTATTTTGTACACTAAATACATATATTTTCCACTCCATACTTACCCGACGAAATATTTATATATATAACATGAATAAAATAAATTTTGGTGCATATTTTCCTCTCTCTAGATATTAATATAATAATTTTAAATTTTCTTCAATCAACAGCATAATATCTGTTTTTTACCAAGAGGATATTTTAAAATGTATGGATTCGATCAGTTTTAATTATATATGTCACAACATTATGTTTGCAAATTTAACAGAAAACATTACAAGTGAAAATAAAAATACTGTAATTATTTATGTTTTAATTGGTATAATTCATTACAAACAGCTATATTCTACTCGTATTTTATTTAATTAAATCAATTCAAATGTTTTTCTGCAAAAATACAATAATAGAAGGAAATTTCGAGTTAATAGTATTTAATTAATTATATATGTGTATGTAACAACGATTTGATATCACGAAATTAACGTTATATTTAATTTTCTACCACAATTATTGGTTCTATTTACTAAATACTACCGAATGTAGATATTAATGTTAGGTATAATCGGAAAAGTTGGATCAACAAAATTGTAAAAAAATAATGAAATTGTTGTATATTTATTTAAAACAGAACAAAAATAATTAGATCATTAGCTTTGTTAATATAGTAAAAATATATCAAATCTAATTTTGTCTACAGTGTGTCTACTTAAGTTGGAACCATATGGAAAACATTTTTATTATTAATTTTAGGAAAAAAAGTTATGCTTGATAAAAAGTCCTGCATGACCCAAAACGTAAAATACAGTCATCAGATATCAAATTTTTCAAGCCGTATACGAGGTTTGTCAAAAAATATGAATTTTGCTCAAGAGTAAAGTACGTTTATTTTTTTACAAAATCGAAAATTTTTATTAAGAAATTTGCTAAATTCTTCACAAACATCAACAAAAGGAAAGCGTATCATGTTTATAGTAGTATAACGTAATTTATAACGTTTTCAAATATTTACAATTTACAATTTACAATTTACAATTTACAATTTACAATGTGTAGAGTGTAGAGTTTATAAAAAATAAGAAAATCTGTTTTTTCAGATAGATCGGTGTAATTGCATATTTGAATGTAGTATTCAATTCTAATCAACTTTTCTTTATGAAAATTTTCGATTTTGTCAAAAATAAACGTACTTTACTCTTGAGCAAAATTCATATTTTTTGACAAACCTCGTATACAACTTGAAAAATTTGATATGTGATGACTGGATTTTAGGTTTTGGGTCATGCAGGACTTTTTATCAAGAATAACTTTTTTTCCTAAAATAAATAATAAAAATGTTTTCCATATGGTTCCAGCTTAAGTAGACATAAGGAATATGAGTGTGAATGTGAGTTTGTGTCAAAGAATTGGGGATTTTTAAGTTTAAACTAACCATAGTATAGGATTAAGCCCATGAAGTCACTAAGTACTGTGACGTCGTCAGTCTTTGCCTGCGGAGCCAAGGGTCCCGGGTTTGAATCTAACCGTTGGCCGGGATTTTTTCATTTAATTTAATTATTTAAAATTAATTCTGTTGCCTTGGTAGGATTTCCCACTCGACCATTCACTGTTGGGTTCTAATTAACAGTGCTGTTCCTAAAGTGGCGCTGGGAAACAGTAACAACGTCTACACAGAATGCGAGGCAAATAACTTTAGTCGTTGATACCGATGACACAAAAAAATTCCTTTAGTACCAGTCCTAACCATTTTTGTACAATTTCAATGTTGTACCTACATTTTTTTTTATTTAAAAATATTCTTATCGATGGTATCGATATTATTTATAAAAATAAATTTGATCTAAAACTAAGGAAAATAAATGGTTCAGAAAGAATAAAAATAAAAATGGGAAACCGATAAAACGATATGAATGCATAAGAGAGAAAAATATGAGGTATCCGTCGAAGGGCTGGGTAAAAAGACCATTATTCAAGATAGAAACTGCCTTAATTCACATTTTCTGCTATCTATCAGAAACAGCGTGCCAATGGATGAGGTCTCTAGCTTTCGTGGCTATTTCTGAGGCCATAATCTACAGTGGCGTTCTTTAAAACAAATGCCTTGATTAACTATTTTTGATTAAAGGATTGAAAAACAATATATTTTTAATAATGTGATAATAAAGAGAGAATTTATACTACATAGCGATATGATAATTTTTTTATCCCATGTAAAGTATTAATATGCTCAATCTCAGGTTCATAGGTTTCTTTCATCTTTACTCATGCCAGCTGATGAGATACATGGTTTGATGCATTTCCATTTAACTTATTCTTAAGACTGTAGTGAACTATTTACCAGAAATCTGCTGAGTTTCTTCGTCGTCACAGGAAAATAAAAGGCCGGCTGCGATTAACACTATTTAATGACTTTCTTCTATACACTATTACGGCACTAACTTTGTAAAATTTATTACACTTTGCCTATATTTGTACTTTTTATTAAAACTATTTTATAAATTAAATATAGCGGCATGACACCTTGATC